TTTTCATGTCTTGGCATGCATTCAACATACCTGAAGGCTTTACCACATCGCTTATACGTATATGATATTACTTCCTATTCCCATTTATAATATGGTTTCTGTCCTGTGTCAATAACTATGCAGCTGTAAAGAGATGAGTGACACATGGAGAGTATTCCACAAAACTTACACTCGTGGTTTTACTCCAATGAGAATCCTCTTGCTAAGACTTAAATTAGAAATGTGCCAAAAAATTTTCAGGAATAACATACCTCTTTAATTTTACAAGCTTTCTGGATAATGCTATTCACAAATTAACCATGTATCCCACATCATGAGGCAGCCTTCATGTGCCTGCAGTTCCATCTACTTGGAAGGCTGAATTGAGAAGGTCACTTGAAGCGAGGAACTACAGACCTTCTAGGGAAGCACAGGACACCATCTTACATTTGCTTCCCAGTTTTTATATCAAACTTCTGAATAATTGTCTTCCAAATTTTTCTAAAATTTATCAAGACCATAATGATTTTCTGACATCAATCTCCAAGAAGTTTCTTCTGGGAGCCATCCAGCAATGTCTATTCCTCCTGAGTGCAGTCTATGAACATATGCTCCAAGGCCACTGAGTTCTTTTCCAGTTTCCAGGGTGCTGTGGAGGCCTCACCATTGATTCCATGGTCAGTGAATGTCACAGCTGCACTCTGAGAGCCATCCAAAGTTCTTATGAGAGAGACACATTAGCAAAATCATTTGATCAGATGGTGACCTCCATCTACTGGGACAAGCAGTGAACCACGATCTTGGAAATCAACAATCGTTTTTCCTGTAAGCAAAGGCTTATAAAGTAGCATCCTAAGAAATCTATCCATGACTGAAAAAAAAAGAAAAGAGAATGAGAGAGGCAGAGATAGCAAGTAATATGTGATATCTTCTGGTGTGTATAACTTTAGAGACAAAGAGACGGGTGCTTTGATAATGTGGATGGTTATGTTTAATTGTGGAAACTAGAGTGACTTGGGAACTGCCTGAGTGATCAGTGAAGCACACTTTGAGTGTGTCTAGGTGGGTCATGAAGGTGTGACCTGGGGCATTATATCTGGTCACTTGCCCTTTCCTCTCTGGTACTGTTCTCATGCTGTGTTTCTTGGCCACCAAGAAATAAACAGCTTTGCTCCTCTGTGCCCATCCACCGTGATGTACCTGCCTTGGTGCAAGTCAGCCTTGTATTGTGTCCCCTGAATCAAGAACTAAATTTAACCTCTTCTCTGTGTTGTGTGTTGGATATTGTGTGCCAGTAATAGGAAAGCTGACTAACAAAGTATTGCTGCTAATCTTTTTTTAAAACATGAGATTTCAAAATGAAGGCTGACATGGACATCCTTCCACACAATTTTTTTATGATTTTCTAGATAGATCAATGTGGCCAGTTATACAGAAAGAGGTTTTGTTTAGAGGTACATGGGGTGGATGCCATCCAGCTTGGCAAAATGCAGGGGACAGTGTGCAGAGGACAACTGAGCCTGTCTTTGCCAAGAAATCCCAGAGAAATTTCTTTGACCTGCATGACAACAGAGTTCAGGGATCATAACTGGATTCGCATTCCCTCAGTAATGGGAAACATGCCCATCAGTACAGAGAAACACCCTGGCTGCCATGAAGTGAATAGCTTTGATCCAGATAGTTTTTCCTGCCACGATGTATTCCAGGACACAGGGCCAGAGCTATGATAAGAGGAACCAGGGACCAAAACCTCTGAAACGATGAGCTGAATAACCTTTCATTCATTTATTTCAAGTAATCTGTCACAGCAACACAACCTAATATACAGCAGGAGTGAAGGTTTATTTGACCTCACATGGTTGGGTGGCCCTGTAGATTTGGTTGCATGGTGGTATAACAAGAGGCAGAGGAGGCCTGTTCACTTCCTGGCAATAGGGAAGTGAGAAAAAGAACAGTGGCCAAGATCTCTGTTACTGGGTCCATATGATGCACAAGATCTAATGGTACTTAAAGTGTCATTGGCTGATGGAGACTGGGTTTGGAGTCTCTGGCATGGTCCAATAGGTGAATCACAGAAAGGCCTTTAGAATTCTGTAACCCATCTCTACCATCATCTGCAGACAATTACTTTCCCTTTGAAAAACAGCTCTAGGTCTACTAGTGGGTTGAGTGGAACTTAAACACTTGACCATGGGACACCATGTCACCATGCTACCTGAGTTGCCTATCATGAGCTGGGTACTATCTCCTACCCTGAATCATATGGTTGGACATGCACATCAACAGCCTCCCATGAAATGGAAGATATATATGTGATAAAGCCAGAGCAGGTCCAGGGGGGACAAGTAAATTACGTGAGGAAGTTGCCCAGATGCCTATGGCTCCTATGCCAGGTCTATTGCCTTCTGCTTCCCACGATGTACCTATGACCTGATGGTGTGGACCTTAGGATCAGCTGTCAGACTAAGAATAGGTTTGGACCTGGTTTACAATGGCTCTGCCTGTCGTACAGGCGCTACCCATGTGGACAGCTGGAGCATTACAGCCCCTTCCAGGACATCTCTGAAGGACATTGGTGAAGGGAAATCATCACAGTGGCCAGACTTCAGGCATTGTACCTTGTAGAATACTTTCCTTTGAAGGAGAACTGTCCAGGTGTGTGACTGTGTACTGATAATGGGCTGTAATCAGTGATCTGGCCAGATAGTCTGGATCTTGGTAGGAACATAAATGGAAAATTGGTAACAAAGATGATTTGTAAAGAGTTATGTGGCTAGATGTCTCCATATGGGCAGAATATGTACAAATATGTGTTTCCCATGTGAACAATTCCCAAAATGGGACCTCAACAGAAGAGAACTTTAACAATCAAGAGGACTGAGATGACCCATTTTGTGAAGTGGCACACCTCCTTCTTTAGCCACCCCTGTCATTGCCCAGTGAGAGCATGAAGAGAGGGCCCAAGGTGGCAGGTGTGCAGGTTATGTGTGGGCTCAGCAAGACCAACTTCCACTCACCAATGCTGATCTGGCTATAGCCACTGTTGAATACACACTATTCCAGCAGCAGAGACAAACACTGATTCTCCAGTATGGCATCATTCCCTGAGTTCATCAACCTGTGACCTGCTGGCACGTTGAGTATATTGGATAACTACCATCATGGAAAGGACTGGGTTTTGTTTTCACTTGTATGGACACCTATTCTGGATAAGCAGTTGTCCTCCCTTCCACCACATAATTTTTCAGCCAAAACTACCATCCCTAAACTCACAGAATTCCTGGGGTGATTGACACACACTATTAAGCAGAAATGGGACTACAATCCATAATGAAGGAAGGGAAGAATATACTTGGAGTGCTGGAGATCCCTTAGGGTGCCTCTTGTTATTACCTGCCCCATTATTAAAGTCAAGGGGAAACTACAAGAACCTAATCCAGGTAGAATGATAAATGGTGCATACCCATCAGGAATGAAGGTATGTCACTCCACCAGGAAAAGGACCAATGCCTGCTGAGGTAATTGTTGAAGGCCAAGCCAATATAGAACAGATAATAGAAGGAGGTCTTTCTAAATACCAGCTATGACCCCCTGATCAGCCACAGAAAGGAGGATTGTCATTGTCACTCTTAATACTTGTTTTTCAGGTTTGTCAAACCTATGTTATAATGTTTAAGTTATGAAATACTAAAGAGTAACACCCCTCAAAGCAAACTTGCCTTCTATTCTGGACAGGGAATCAGTGTATTTCTGTTTGTATCCAGGATAGTTCTAATATGTTAGGCAAAATTATAAGCTTGTCCTTGTTATCTGTTAACTGACTTAAGGAAATGTATCTGCTTGCCCAGTAGCCAAAGGGTGGATTTTGATGGTTGCTGGTTTTTGTCAACTTGACAGCTTGAGTAAGACAAGCATCTCCAACTCCAGGCCCTAGGGCCTAGAAGATACCCCTTAGGGGAAGCTCTTGTACCACCCTGGGTGGGGCTGACTCACCCTAGGGAAGCTCTTGGCCTGGATGTTATAAAAGGGAAGTGAGGAAGGACACTGCTGCTGCTGTTCCTTTGGAGGAGCCCCAGTTTTAACCTTGGAGGTCATCTCCTGCCTTGTAGGCCACTCTTCAGCTTCCAGTGAGGATCCTTCAGCCTTCCTGTGTAGACTCTTGAGTCTTCCACCGCTGACTAATCTCCCTCTAGATACCCAGTGCACTGCAGTGGATACTGCAGTGAGCTCCAGACCTTGGACTAAATCCTCCAGTCTCCAGTGTGCAGACAGACCCTCTGCACTCTTCCTCATCCGACTCTGTGGGTGGCCACTGTAAGTCAGTCTTGGAAAGTCATATGTATTTCTATAGCTTGTGTTATAACTGTTTCTCTACTGAATTCTGACTGATGCTACACAGAAGGAGGGAAGGTTTCTTTGGGCTCATAAGGTCAGTTGACCCTATTGTTTCGGGCATATGGTGGTACAACACGTAGCAGAGGAGGCCTGCTCGCTTCATGGCACCTGGGAAGTGAGACAAAGAAGTGGCCAAGATCTCAGTATCTCCTCTGGGGACAGTCACTGCAGCATCCCGTCAGACCTGACTAGCTAAGCCCTAGCAAAGAGTCATCTCAGAACCTCCTGCGACTCTTGTTGCTGTGCAGTGGGCTGTGCCTTAGGAAGTTGCCAGGGTCCTCCACAAGAGGCAACAGATGAGGCACAAGAGAGGCCCATTCACTCTCTAGCCTTCTTGCACCCATATTTTACTCCTCTGTGCAAAAGGGAATAAAATACCTAACTCATAGAATGGAGGCAGGGTCTGGAAGAGACAAGTGTCAACCATATTAGAGAAGTCTAAATTGGCCATTTCAGAGAGATCACGTTGACATTGTCTTGGGTATCTAGTGCTCTCCCTCATCCATATGTTGCCCTATGCTGAAATTTGAAGCTCTTCGTGTTGAGCACTTAAGGGAATAAACACAAACTGAACTAGTGCTACAGTGACATTCAAGATGGTCTCTCATCTCTATATTTCTTTTCCAGGTGGTAACAAAAAATAATCCAGATGGAGCACAAGTACATTGAAAAGATACAAAGGTAAGGTTGAATAAAGACTCCTTCCAAACTGAGTAATATGTGATTTTAAAGTCATTTTTATAAACCAAGCATCTCACAGCAGTTCAAAAATAAGAATAGTATCAAAGAATTTCATATGATGGTATGAAAATACTTTGTTGAAATCTAATACATGATAAAATTACCACACATTAGGAGTATAATAAAATAATAATGCTAACCATGAAAATAAAGGCCATGAAGGCATTCAGTGCATTTAGCTGGTGTGGGGTGCAATCCACAGTTCTGTTCATTGAGGATTTGGCATGATTTTGATCTCAGAGGACCTGTGTGTGTCTTATATTTTTAAACTTTTGCTCATTGCTCAGAGGATGGGGAGATCACTGTTACTCTCTGTGACTGGATTTGGTTTGGATGAAATATCCATTTCTCCAAAGAGCTTCAAGAAAAAGAAAAGCTTGGTTTTCAGAGGGCTCCTGAAATAGGATGTATGAAAATAAATCCCCCAGACACATATATGCCTTTTGTTTTCTCTATATTTCACCTCAGAAAAAAGTAATGTGAATCCTAAAAAATGGGAAAGAAATAACTGATGACCTTGCTTCCTTAACAAATACTCCAAACATATACATATATGTTTTACTGTACCAAAGTCATGTGATGTTTGGCTCTATTCAGAAAATATTTTTATGCCGGGCATGCTGAGGCATACCTGTCACACCAGCACTAGAGAGGTTGAAGCAGGAGAATTGCCATAAATTGGAGACCAGCCTCGTCTACATAGGAAGTTCATGGCCAGGTGTACTGCATAATTAAACACTGTCTCAAAAAAAAGGAAAGAAAAGCAATTTAGGTTTAATAATACAGCAATGGATATTTAAATCATAAGGAAAATGTGCATAGGTCATAAGCACACGTACTTGATTTTTCTGTAGACATCTTGAGCATCCACAGATTTGGAGGTCCAAAAGGCAGTTCCCATCACATATGGAGGGACAACTATTTTTTTATGCTACTACAGATTTCACACTTATCATTATAATGCCTGCATATTATTCTATTGCAGAGATGAATCTTCAGTACTTAACCCTTGTTTTCCACTTAGACGACAGTAGTTTCTCTTAGTTTATCATTTAAAATTTCATAAACCACCTTGTACTTTTATGTTCTCAGCTTTGTGGATCTATTCTTAAGCTCTGTTTCCAGTGGTAGGTCATTTTTGATACCAAACATGTCTCGTTGATTTAAAAACAATGGTTTAGGGCCAGGGATTTAGCTCAGTGTTTCCATGGCCTGCCTCACAAGCGCAAGGACTGGAGTTCAATCCCCAGCACCAAAAAAAAAAAAGTTGAAGGACTAAAAACAATGGTTTAAAAGAGTAATTATAGGAGGTAGTATACATGCAGGCTGACTTCACAGACATGATGTGAAACTGACTTATTTTCATTCCTCTCACCCCCAGCTGCTTCTGTGTCCTACCTCAAGATCTGTCCCCAGACTATGTCAATGAAGTAAGCAGGTCCAACTTGGATGAGGACTGCACTCTTCAGTTAAGAAGCCATTGGAGACAAGAGGTGTTGGAGCCTAAAAATGCCCTCCCCAGTGAGGGCCTGAGTCAAACTGAGAGCAGAGGCAGGAATGCTGCCCCACAGGAATCCTGCGGGCCTCGGCAAGGATCATTCCCTCAGGGGGACACAAGACGTGGACACTGTGCCAACCCTAGAGACAGCACCAATGGCATGGGCCCCAGAGCCTCTCCCCAGTCCCTCAGGAATCCCCAACCAGGCTCATGGGTGAGCCCTGCACAAGGCATTCACCCAGCTCGGCCCTTCCTTGAAGGCAGGGACGCCAGGAGCCAGGACTGTGTGCTGCCCTCCTGGGAAGAGACTCCAGCCATGGGAAAAGGAGACTGCAGAGCTCCTGCTGAGGCAGAGAGTCCAGTTTTGGAAGGACAAGTCCAGGACCCCCCTCTGCCAGACTGGAATCACCCGCCACTGTGGGACCTGGCTGTTGACAGCTATGGGGATCAGGGGAGGAGGAAGAAGCGGTGGTGGAAGCCCTTGCACTTTTAGAAGCTGATACTGCCAGAGAAGATGTACCAGGCAGAAGTGCTGTGGCCAGTGAGCCAGTGCCGTGCTGCATAAGGGGAGATGCTTGTAATCCTTGGGACCCAAGCTGAGCATTGGCCAGCACGCCCTGGTGTGGCTTAGGAGTTGTTTACCTCCAGCATCTGTTCCTATTCTGGGTGCCTGAGCTGTGCTGCTTCTCAAAGACTTGGAGCCTCACTGCGTCAATGGGCCCTCACTGGGGACAGGAGAATGAACATCAGAGTGAGCTGCTGTGCCCCTGTCCATGGAACATGCAGAAACTGAGCACCCTGCTTGCCAACTGTCACAGTCCTCAGAACATCTGGTACAGATGGCATGAGAGTGCTGTCCTGTCCCCACTCCTAGTCCCAAGGAAATACAGTCACTGAGCATCCTTTTTGACTGTAAATCCTTTGCCTTGCTTGTGAGAGACAAATGTTGTCCCGATCTAGTAAACATAACTCCCCCTTCAAAGTCCCTACCATGTTCAGGGACAGTCACCCGGGGAATTGATCACCAACCACTTGTTGGACACCAGTTAGGTTGAGCAGATTTCACGAGGACCGGAAGTGACCAGGAAGCAAATAGTTATTCTTTAGTGGGTGTGTAAAATGCTTGGACCTTCACGTTTTTACATTGTGGCTTTTTTAAATCTCCGTTGTGATTGGGGAGCCTGGGCAAAATCATTGTGAAAACTTCTTGTGTCACATTTGAGCCTTAAATTCATGAGTTTTTGAAACAGCAAAACTGTGTATGGAGTGTGTCATGCCATGAAAAGTCTGATCATATAAAATATAACAACTTCTTTGTCTCTGTGTGTGGAGTCAGGGTGGTTCTGACATAGCTCCTTGTAGAATTGAGAAGAATAAAGTTGTTCAAAATTGTGGAAAAACATACAAGCATACAAGTTATTTTAATTTGGTGCTTTTTACCCAGGCCCTGAAATTTCATTTATCCTGGGCAAAAAATTCATCTTTTCTCATAGCCTATCTTTTAATTGAAAGCTTAACAATATATACTGCAAAAATTCACATGGCATGTTGAATATTGGTTTTAAGATAATTTAATTTGTACATAATAAATAAAGTGCAGTTTTAATATACATATAACTTTTTTCTAGGGGAAATTAAACTATCAAATAAATACTAAAGAAAGTGTTGCCAAGGCAGAAAGTAGCGAATTGTTATTCCTCACAATCCAGATGCATAAATGTGTGACGACAATTTTAGGTTTCTAACAGATAGCATGCCTGTTTTCCACGCTCAGTAGAAGTGACCGTTGGTCATTTCCCATTCTGCCCACTCTGCATCTGCCTTTCTTGGTTCTCTACCTACTTCTCTCAGCACTACTGCCTCTTGCTCTTGACCTTAGGTTTACGTTTCTAAACTTTTCTGAGCTTTAGTTTCCTCATCCTCAAAGGGAGGATCATTCCTATTTTCCAGCATTGACAGGAATACTTGCTAGACCAGTAGATTTCTGGACCTCACTTTTTAAGAATATGAATTCAATAGGTCTGGGAGTAGGGTTGGAATGGGCTACATAGTCTCTGTAATTTCCTAAATACCCTTAGAAACTCTAAGGGATAGCAACAGCTAGTTGATCTTGCACTGATTATCAGTAAAAAAAAATAGCACACTCACCCCAATATGGGCATGTTTATAACTAAATGTCCTGCCCTGTATAAGTAAAAAATAAACACTACAGAGCAATACCAGGAAGAGCCAATAATTATCTACCAGATATTTGATATTGTCTCCCCACACCTATGGGTTATGTGAAAACTTCTTTGAGAACCATTAGTATAGAAGTTCAAACAAACTAGGGTATATAAAGTCACTTTGACAATAAACAAAATGAGGCTAAGATTTTTAAAAACAATACATTGTGCACAAGTGTGTGAGATGTCCACTAGAGAATGCAAGCATGCTTGAACATGGACATTCTGAGGCCACTTGCCTGTGCCTGTGTACACTGACCTGTATAGGCCTTGAGCCTGGTTTTTTAGGAGATTTCTGTATTTACTGCTTTTAGGCATTTTAGAGAAGTTAATATCCAACCAAGCTAAAGTATGACCTAGAAAGCCAAACTTAGGCCAAGAATTTTATTCTTCTTCCTTGTCATTACTATACCATCCAAATTAAGAGGAGGGAGACTGTTCAGGGTAGGCTGGTTAAAATATTTGTTCAGGACGAATCTTGCTACTTTGAAAGAAAAACAAAACAAAGAATGTCTGTTGACATGAATTTCAATAAAAATCTCAAGACTGGGGATGTGACTCAGTTTAAAGTAATTGGTTAGCATGTGTGAGACCCTATCTTTATTCCCCAGAACAAATCTCAGAACAAATTTCATTTGCAGGTCTTATTCATACTTTTCTCTTCCTCTAAAATATTTCTAAAGCTATGAAAATGTGTACATTTAAACTTCAGATCTTATAAAAGTGAAGAAGTTATTTCATGCTAAAGAGAATTCATGGTCTCTGCTCTTCAACTCATGTCCTCTGTCTTCTTAAATGTTGATGCTTGAAAAAAAAGTTTTAAATTGCACCCCATTTTTGAAGCCAAAAGATCCAGTCTGTAAGATTTCCATGACATCAACCATGAGCCAGGTGACAAATCAATAAGGACGGCTATGGTGTTTACACTAAAACCTGATCAGAAAAAGACATTAATAATGAAGGGGAATTATCTGCAAAAACATTTTTCAAAATATTTTACTAAGTCATACAACTCTTGATATAGAAGTCTTATTTAATAATAATGTCTAGGAGACACCAAACTGCACTTTTTATATCTTTATATGTGCACATATATCTTAATTTATTTAAAAACTATCATTTGTGAATCTGTTAGTGCAGCCAGCTGCTATTCTAAGCCTGATCATGCATCAGCTCACTTAAATCCACCATTGCTATGATTTCGACCTCCTGTTATATAGCTGGGGAAATGGAGAACCAAAAATACCTTGTCCTCAGTCTCACAAGCAGTCAGTGACAGAGTCCAAACTGGGCCTAGGTTGAATACTAAGCTGGAGCTTTTGAGAATCATTGTTAGCCCTCCAAATCTGTGCCCTCTCACCTTCAGATCTAACCAGAATTCAACCTGATTCAAACACATAAAAAACAATGCATTTATACTGAATATATAGAAATGGAGACCAAACTCCCATCATGTGTCTCACTGGAGAGTGTCAGAAGAGCCCGGCAGCTCCTTGTTCTATGGAGTCTCAGTGATGACAGAGTGAGCACCAACTGTATGTGGTCCTGTGCTAAGTGCATAACACATTCAGGCTGGGCAGAATCCCACAAACACCCACAAAAGCACGTGTTACCTTCACTCTGTCCTTAGAAGCTTGTGGCCCACAGAGTTGAAGGCCCCAGATGGGGCAAAGCATCTGAATGCCAAATCTGTGCTCTTCTGGGAGCTGTAATCATGAGCCCTGGGCCAAGTCAAGGAAACTTATGGAAGTAGATTCTGAGAAGAGGAAGGGGAAAGGGGTGGGTGAGAACCTTTCAGAGCAGAAAACACCATGGCTGGGACTCCTGGTCACATAGCCAAGGCAGCTCTAGACTCTGTCAGCATGGAGCTGGCATCCAGGGCCTCATGACCCCTGTGCCTCTGTGACTCCTCATAAATCTGTTTCTCTGTGAATAATGCATTGGTCAGGAGTTTTTGTGTTTATCATTGCTGTTGTTGTTGTTGTTGCTGTTGTTCCTGCTGCTGCTGTTTTCACTATTGATAGAAACCCAAACCCTGAAAGGAGAAGGGGAAATGTCCTGGACGTGTTTAGGAATCACAGAAAGGCAGCTGTGCCACAGGCTCCAAAGCAACCAGGACCTCCGTCTTCCCTCTGCAATTTCCCTTCCTTTTCTATAACCCACTGTCCTCCACAAGCCCCCAGCTATGGCCACCAGAATAATCAACCACTTTCTTCAACTGCAGGTTATATACATCCCAAGAAGGGGCTCCCTGAAGCCAGATTGCAGTTGTGTAGCATGCTCACTCTGGCCATGTCCACTTTTGGTCAGGGGAGCAGGGCACCAAGGGGTCTTCTAGGAGGAAGGAGAGCAACTTCCTAGAAGGGACAGTGCTGGGCTGATGGAGTCTCAGCACTCTCCTGAACACCCTGCCTCGTCATCCTCAGGACTTCCTTCTACCCCTGGCCTGTGCCTCTTCACAATGAGGACCCTTCTTCACTCTGTGGTCAACTATCATGACTTCACTTGCTGAATGGCTAAGTTCAGAGCAAGAGTCTTGCTGGCTCCGCTAGATCTCTCGACAAAGCTAATGTGTGGGGCCAGTCACCATCCTCTCTGAGTATCTTTGGCACGACAGGTGCACAGATCCATTATCAAGCACTGTAGCCAAAATGCATAATGAAATTTAATTTCCAGTGTACCAGTGTTGAGGGTGAGGGTGGAGCATGAAGAGATAACTAGGACAGAGTGACTCCATCCACATAAGTGGATTAATGTCTTTCTTTAGAGTCTGTTGAGTTGGTTTAGAAATGATTGCTTCTCTTAGGAGTACATTGAGTGTTCTGGGAGTGCAATAGTAACCTGGAGAGCAGGTAGTTGTAAAACAAGATCACCCTGGTGTTTTCTCTTCTGCACAAGCTCACCTGGCCCTCTGCCTCATGCTCCTACCATCTGATGGCTCTTTCCTTGTTACCATGACACAGCACGAAGACTTCCACAGATGTGGTTTTCCAGGTTGGACATTTAGCCTCTAAAACCACAGGGCAAAATGAACCTCTTTACCTTATAAACTCCTCGACACCTTATAGCAACTCATAAGTCATTGACCATGACTTCCAATGGAGGTGACCTCCAGAGACTGAGGTAGACATTATGGCAGACACTGTAAATTTGCAAGCATTTTTCCAAGGATTGAAACCTCTATGAGACAGGTCATTGTGCAGAGGAAGATACTGAGGCTCAGAAATATAAGGCAGATTCCCCAATATCACAGGTGTGAGTGGCAGAGTGGGTTTCAAATTCACACCAAAAGTTTGGCTGCTGATCTGAGATGAAATTGCTTCCAATAGTCACATCATTTCCATGAATGGATTCACGGGATGGGTCTTCCTCTGAAACACAAGGCAGTTATTTTTGCCAGTATCCGAGACAGCACTCATGAGCACACAGGCCACCGGCTAAGAAACTGAGCTGCTGATGAGAAAAGCAATAAAGAATAACTGGCAAGTTTAGTAGAAGGGATTGAAAAGCTCAAACTTGATATTTTATCTCATATAATAACTACTGTTATGGGTTCATTCATATAGGTAATATTTTATTTATTTCTTCATTTATTTATCGGGTTTAGAAAAAAATCAAGGATGCTTTCTGTACAGGAGGCCCTGAAAAAGACAGCATCCCCACCAAATAGGCAAGAAGCAATCTCCTTTGCAATTTTCACTTGTGGCCAAGTGATAGGGCAAAATGCCTATTTGTGCAAGGTGGATGACTGGCCCATCTGGATACCTGCTCAACCAGGTGAACAAGGACACACCTGGGCAGCTGATGTTGCTGTACAAGAGGCCCCAGGTGTCCTTTCATGTGCTTGTAGACACAGTGAGGGAGCCCCAGGGAGGTATGATAAGAGTCCTTCAGAACTTTGGTGGGAAATGTGGAAAGGAGAAAATACTTGGACACAAACCAACCTGTTGCACCAAAAAAAGGTCAGAGGATGCAAGAACTGGAAAGGGGGACCTCACATGCAACACATCATTTGGATCACACCCACTCAGCAACAAGTGCTAAATTGTGTGATTGCTCTCCCAAGCCCCCAGCACTCAGCTGTATGTGCTTGAGACCCTCCCTGT